TGTATTTGAAATATCTTTTGTATTAGCCGTCCACTGCGGTGGAAAATCAGTTAGTAGCAACCATAGCTGATTGAATGAAGGTAGTTGTGGTGATCCCTAGTTGCACAGGAACTAGTGTACAGGAATTTTTCAAAAACGTCGGAATGATCAGAAGACTTTGCGAGCACGTTTACGAGCACACAATTAAAGCAGAAACATAAGCCACCTGTTGCAGCGCATAAGAATCCTGGATATCCGAATAGAACAAATTTTGCTCCGGTCATTTCGCAATGCTATGGAAAGGCTGACAAGGCATCAGAAAACAAAGACCGAAATGGTCAAGGAAACGCGCCCTTGCACATCTCAGCAACATATAATCATATCCTCGAAAGGGAAACATACTAGACTTTATACCCTGGATTTGGTATGCATAAAACAATTTCGGCACTCGGATAGTTTAAGGTTTATCATATAAAAAAATACACAAGAAACATTTGAGGGAAACGTTTGATAGCAACACTATATTTGTTTGTTGCTGATGAATACTCAATTGTTGAAATTTAACATGAACTGGTTTTAGTCACTTGCATTTGCGGAAACAAATTCCGCTAGTCATACCTGTTACAATGAGCTGAACTTTACTAGTTGGCATTGATTCCATTGTGTCCCCGCTTAGTAAAAATAGTACACAACCGTATATCCCACTATCAGCCATGGTCACATTAGTAATGAGCAAAGTGGCATGAGATTCTTTGCTTACTCGTACTTTAGGACTTTGTAAACGAGTGGGACAGTTYTGTTTATCAATTCTAAATGACCACCCTTCATATACGTCATCATAGCCAATTAATTTGTACTTTCTGCCCGTATCGTACATTATCCATCTCGGTGATTGAGAATCAAACTCTTTCATCTTGTTGTCCACGTGGTAGTCCCACTCAAACMTGGCAGTTCCTCCTTTTACTACGTACAGTTTGTTTGGAGGAATGTGGGTAAATCGAGCTGTTGAATCTGTATAGATATKATATATCAAATAGAAATATAGCTCCACAAATCTCTTGTTGATGCTCAAAGAAAACATTCGAAAGAAACTTTTCGTCAATGTTCAGCTAGCCATATTAATTAATGCAAGCACACTGAAACACTGATACCATTTGTGGTATATGTGGTAAATTAAGTCCTAGCTTCAAAACTTACGGACGGCGTATAAAATGACCACTTTTTTAAATTAATTTTGTTAAGTATTGCCAAATCGGTAAATGACATTACTGGAAGGGTATTAAATATAAGTTTGATATTTCCATCGACTTACCAACCAGAGAAGGCGACATCAATATAAATACACTATAAGCCAAAATTAAAAATGAGCTAAGAAAAGAGAAATTTCTGCAAAATGACATAACTCTATCACGTTCTGCCCAATGATTTATCATTTTAAATTAAATGGGCACATCCAATACGAAATTAATAGACAACTCTCTTGATTAATTCTTCCGAAATACTTGTCAATCCTTCCACCGTCAGCGGAGGTGTATTGAGTTGACCTTCAGTTCATGTAAATTAGTCGAAGTAACACAAGGAACTGAAATTTGGACAAAGGGAAAAATTGTTGTTATTTGTAGCTACATTGCAGTGGGAAACGTAAACTTATAATTTCAATTTTGAATCGTTCTTCTAAATAGTTCATTTGCATGTCGGTACATTAAGCTGCAAAAGTTTGGAAATTGTAACTCCCATATCTCTCCTTATTGGCAATTTTTAAGGAAAACTGATGTACAAATCCGAATTCTTCGGCGAAGAGAAATGATATAAGTACATTGGTTTCATGGTGTTAACACTTTCAGAGTGATTGAATAAAAATAAATAAACTGTTAAACTGTTAAAAAAACTTTCTTCAGTCAAGGCAATAACAACAAAATCTACCCTAGTTAGAACTAACAAGGCTTTCATACCAAACTATCATTACTTTGCAACATTTTACGTCTTAAATTTGCATGTGCCATATATACTACCATCACACTGATGATGGCGAAAGTCACGCCGAAACATGCCTGCAAATAAAAAGTTAAAAAGCGATGTTGTCTTTATAAAGAACAAAATCTCAAAAATAACTGACATTTGCTTCCGCATTAAAAGTAATCCCAAAAAAAAGACAAAAAAAGGAAAAATAATAAAAACAAAAACAAAAACAACAAGATTCACCAATAATATAAAGGGAAGAAATAAACTGAATAAAGAAGATAGATTTCCACAGTTTGAAGGTGGTTCGATGCTGAATGCCCTTAAGTCACCTTTCCATTTCAATCTTCACAATAAGACTGAGACGTAAATCAGTGATATTTTACGTCTCAATCTTATTGTGAAAATTGAAATGGAAAGGTGACTGATGAATAAAAGAGTTCATTGATCTCATCTGATAATTTGAAAAAGACCATTCAAGAAAATACTCAATTTCAATCACTTTATATTTTGATTTTTGTCTCCTGATGTTTTAAAATCTGTCAATTATTGGAGCTTAAAAATTAAACAAACAATGTGCAGTAGAAAGGACAAAAAAAAAAACAATATTAGGGCATGACCAACAAATTCAAATATATATATATACCATATTTACTCGAATAGACGCCGTCCCCGAATAGACGCCAATTTGAGGAAATAATGATACCAGCAATGGGAATTTATTTTCTCTTAGAACATTTTTTATTTCGAAGAGACTGTACTTGTTTGATCTCAGCAGCTGTTAGATTTTGACCACAAGGAGGACATTGATATTGAAATAGAAGTTTAACTCTGGTTAAAATCATAAATTGTATAGACAAAATGAACACGACATTTATATATTGAGATTCGTTGCTGTTTGTTAGTATAAAGATGCAATATAAAGTACGGTATGTAGTACTGAATAAAGTGTCTTTTTAATAAACGCCGCCCCCGAACAGACGCCGCCCTCGAATAAACGCCGCAGCTGGATCGTGAAAAATGAAAGTACACGCCGCGGCGTCTATTCGAGTAAATACGGTATTTGAGAGAATACATCACAAAAGAAAAAAGAACTTCGGGCGTTGTGTTTATTGTCCAGGTGCATGACGGTCAGTGGGCGTTGTTGTGCATCTGCGTAGCATCGGTTGATTTGCGTCTTGCGTGCTCTCTATTGGCTAGGTTCAGGGCAAGATGAGAGTGTACATCACAAAAGGGGTCTTGTCTCTAACGGGAAAATCCAATCTTCCAAAAGACGCAATTAATTCACTCGCTGCATCAAAGGGGTCTTAATTCTTTAGCCCCCTTTTGTTCTGTCCCATCTCATAGACCTACCCCGGAACCTTAAATCGACATATTTTACTGCGACATATGGCATTTTAAGGCGGCGATTTAAGAAAATATGGCCTGGTTTCGAGTAAAATTTTAAGGCGTTTTAGTGCTACTTAAAGCGATTTAATGCGATTTAAGCAAAAAAATCTTAGATAATTAATAAAAATAATTATAGTTTAATGCTAGAAAATGCCTTTTGTTGAGTGCAAGCATTAGATTCATAAATCAGTACTATTGATATGACGATGACATAACAGCACT